AGTAGTAATTACCAAGACTGGAGCACCAGTGGTGTCTGAGTCTTCATTGGGCAGCGAATCTGTCAGAAATACAAGCACATGGTAATGAAAAAACAGCAAGAAGAATGGGAGCAGTGGGCAGGAAGAGCATGCAGGGAAGGGATGAGCCTCTACAATGGGTGCATCTGCAGAGCTAACTATGCAGTGATCTTGGGTGGTCTGGGCTATAGTAACTGCCAGGCTGGCATGGTCACCCAGAGAATCCAAGAGCCCAAGGCAGGATGGCAGCAGAGGCAGGCTGCCTACACAGAGACAACAGGTCCAGGGGCTAACTACGCAGTTTTTTGCGTTGTGGTAAAAGTGAAGGCCAGCTTGAGAAAAACTCAGAACCTGGCAACACAGCATATGTCCTCAATATGACAGAAGAGAAGGAAACCCAAGGACACAAGGATCCAACCACACCCTAGGGGGTCACATACAGAGGCTCACCTGCTTCAGAGCCTGAGGAATCGAGACTTGATTCAGAGACTTCCAAGTGCATGCTGGAAGAACTGGGATCCAAAATCCTTTCCAGCTCCTTGATCTCCTTTGTTATTTTCTCTCTTTCTGCATCTATGTCCATGGCTTCTGCCTGCCTCCACAATATGAGTGTTAAGAATCAAGAGTGCCCACATCCCATCCTTCTTCAAACAGACACACCTACTCAGGACAGCCGGAGCCTACTCCAAAGCCGAAACTGAGTTCTCTAGAAGGTAGACAGACCCATGCCCAGATGTGGGGAGCCTGGGTCTGTAATCTGATTCTCTTTGGCATTTCAATAACTCATACTTGTTTTCAAGGAATGTTACTGGTTAAGTCTGAGGAAAAAAGAAACTGGGAAGAGAGATTATTACAGAAAACAAGCACAGGGGCTGGGAAGGTGGCTCAGTGGTAGAGCACTTGCCTTGCATGCATGAGGCCCTAGGTTCGATTTCTCAGTACCACATAAGCAGAAAAAGCTAGAAGTGGCGCTGTGGCTCAAGTGGTAGAGTGCTAGCCTTGAGCTGAAGAGCTGAGGGACAGCGCCCAGCCCCAGAGTTCAGGCCTCACGACCAGCCAAAAAAAAAAAAAAAGAGAGAGAAAAAAAGAAAACAAGCACACACCCAAGGGCTAGCCACAAAGAAGAAAACCATCCTAAACCCAGTGTAGTAACACATGCCTGTAATCTCAGCATTTGGTGAGAGTCTGAGGATCCCAAATCTCTGGCCAGCTTAGGATGTGAGACTGTCTTTTAAGAAAAAAAGGAAAGCCATTCTCCCCTGTCTTTGGCACATGCTTCTCCCAGTTCTCTCAGCTGAGTGCCCACGCTGCAACAAAACAAAGCAACCACCAGGGTGCAGCCTTCTGATGCATTAGGAATGCACTACTCTTCATTCACCCAGGGGATGACTGCAAATCTGTAAACAGAACACAGCTGACCCCAGTTGGACCTGCAGAACCTGAAGACCACTTGCAAGTTCAGAGTGGCCATTTGGCCAGGAGGCATCTTCTTCAGAAAGCCTGGCTTCTAAAGAACGAGCAACTGGTTCTTTGAAGAGAACTACACATTTCCTGTCCTTGTTTCCAGACAAGTGAACAAGGTCACAGTCCCAAATTCAGATACTGAGTCGGGTTCCACAAGACCACTTTCCACGACATCACAGGCTGCCTTTTTGCCTGGTGCCCCCCTCCTCACAAAAGACAACCTCACAGACTCCTTGTGGAATCCGGGGTGAGGGGTTGGCTGAGGTGCTGGTGGCTCACACCTGTAATCCCAGCTGCTCAGGAGACTGAGATTAAGGATGGCAATGTGAAACCAGCCTAGGTAGGAAAATCCATGAGACTTATTACCTCTAACCATCAAAAAGCTGGAGGTGGAGTTATGGTTCAAGTGGCAGCGTGGCAGACTTGAGTGAAAAAGCTCAGGGTAGCGCCCAGGCCCTGCAGGAATAGCAGGAGAGGAGAGGTGGGGGAGAAGAGGGGAGGGGGGGAGTGCGGGAGAGGGGTGAGAGAGGAGAGAGGTGGGGGTGAGAGAGAGAGCAGGGGGGGAGAGGAGAGAGCAGGGGAGAGGGAGAGGAGAGAGCACCAAGGGGGGAGAGGAGAGCTGGGGGAGGAAGAGGGGGGAGCACGGGGGAGGGGAGAGGAGAGGGGAGAGCATGGGGGAGGGGGAGAGCACGGGGGAGGGGGGAGAGGGGAGAGCATGGGGGGAGGGGAGAGCATGGGGGGGAGGGGAGAGCACGGGGGGGGGGGAGAGGGGAGAGCACGGGGGGGGGAGAGGAGAGGGGAGAGCACGGGGGGAGAGGGGAGAGCACGGGGGGGGGGAAGAGGGGAGAGCACGGGGGGGAGAGGGGAGAGCATGGGGGGGAGGGGAGAGGGGAGAGCACGGGGGGAGGGGGAGGGGAGAGCACGGGGGGAGAGGGGAGAGCAGGGGGGAGGGGGAGAGCATGGGGGGAGGGGAGAGGGGAGAGCAGGGGGAGGGGAGAGCACGGGGGGAGGGGGAGGGGAGAGCACGGGGGAGAGGGGAGAGCAGGGGGGAGGGGGAGAGCATGGGGGGAGGGGAGAGGGGAGAGCAGGGGGGAGGGGGAGAGCATGGGGGGAGGGGAGAGGGGAGAGCAGGGGGGAGGGGGAGGGGAGAGCACGGGGGGAGAGGGGAGAGCATGGGGGGAGGGGAGAGGGGAGAGCAGGGGGGAGGGAGAGGGGAGAGCACGGGGGAGAGGGGAGAGCACGGGGGGAGGGGAGAGGGGAGAGCACGGGGGGAGGGGAGAGCACGGGGGGAGGGGGAGAGCATGGGGGGAGGGGAGAGGGGAGAGCAGGGGGGAGGGGGAGAGCACGGGGGAGGGAGAGGGGAGAGCAGGGGGGAGGGGAGAGCAGGGGGGAGGGAGAGGGGAGAGCAGGGGGGAGGGGAGAGCACGGGGGGAGGGGAGAGGGGAGAGCACGGGGGGAGGGGAGAGGGGGAGAGCAGGGGGGAGGGGAGAGCAGGGGGGGAGGGAGAGGGGAGAGCAGGGGGGAGGGGAGAGCACGGGGGGAGGGGAGAGGGGAGAGCAGGGGGGAGGGGGAGAGCACGGGGGAGGGAGAGGGGAGAGCAGGGGGGAGGGGAGAGCAGGGGGGAGGGAGAGGGGAGAGCAGGGGGGAGGGGAGAGCACGGGGGGGAGGGGAGAGGGGAGAGCACGGGGGGAGGGGAGAGGGGAGAGCAGGGGGGAGGGGAGAGCAGGGGGGAGGGAGAGGGGAGAGCAGGGGGGAGGGGAGAGCACGGGGGGAGGGGAGAGGGGAGAGCAGGGGGGAGGGGGGAGAGCACGGGGGAGGGAGAGGGGAGAGCAGGGGGGAGGGGAGAGCACGGGGGGAGGGAGAGGGGAGGAGCAGGGGGGAGGGGGGAGAGCAGGGGGGGAGGGAGAGGGGGAGAGCAGGGGGGAGGGGGGAGAGCAGGGGGGGAGGGGGGAGGAAGGAGGCGGGAGCTGGGGCGGACGCAGCCCTGCCTGCCGAGCCCCGGGCCGGGCCGACGGGAGCACGCCGGGGCCGCCCGACCCTCCCGGGACCCGGCTGCCGGCCCCGGGGAGCGGCGCCCCTCGGCGGGGACGGCCCTGCCCGGCCGGGCCCCCTCACCTGCGCAGCGGCCGGCACGGTCTCAGGGTCTTCACCTGAGGGGACGGCCCGGACCCCTCCCGTCGCCAGGCGACCGCAGACCCACGCTTCCGGAGGCCCCGGAAGCGGGTGGTGCCGCAGGAAGTCCCGCCTCCGAGCAGCGGCGCGGGGCCTGCCGGGAGGGCCGCACGGCCCCGCCGCGCCGCCCCGCCCCCCCAGCCCCCCGCCCGCCCCCCGCCCCGCCCCCCCGGCGCCCCCGCCCCGCCCCCCCCCCCCCCCCCCCCCCCCCCCCCGCCGCTGATGGCGCGGGCGTGCGGAACCCCGGGCCGGGCACCGTGGACTGGGTCCATCCCCCGCCCCGCACGCCGCGCGGAGCCGGCCCCACGGGCGCCCACTCGGGGGCGGACGCTCCGGCTGACAGGAGCGGGCTCGAGTCCACGGCTCCTGCCTTTGGAGACCTTGCCAGCCCGAGAGTGCGAAGACACCCGGCCCCCCCCCCCCCCAGCCTGGCAGGACACTCGGTAGTCAGCCAGCGGGACCGGGCCACGCGGCTTAGAACTGGCAAGACTGGACAGATGAACGCGGGGTGCTTCCGGGCGCCCGGAGTTTCTGCTGTTCACCAAGGCCTGCCTGCAATGGGGCTCAAAATCCGGGCACGAACTCCTACGCTACCCAGGAACACCTCACACAGACCAAGCGAACTGCAGACACGTGGCTGTGCCCCTCCACCCGCGTCGGCACCTCACTCCACCCCACTAGCCTTAGCCTGTAGCTGCCACCGTCGCAGGGAGCCAGAGCCAGGGCAGGTGTGGCCTGAGGGCTGCTCTGGGTGGCTCCCCTGTTCCAGGCCCAGCCAGTGAAGGAGCCCCAGACCTCATCTCACTTGCCTGTCCCTCTGCTCCAGAAAGTCTTTCTCACACAGGCCTGGGGACAGGTCTGCAGGAGATGCAGACTGTTCTGCCCTAACTGGCTGACCTGGGAGTGGAGAGAGAATGGGATGCATGATTCACAAGGTCCATACAGGGGCTAGGAAAAGCCCCCGCTTTACCTGTAGTTAGTCAGAATCTAGCAGTTTAAATATCTTGTCTGAAAACCCAACCAACCTCATTTGTAGGGGCATTCTGAAGTTAGAATCCCCTGTCCAACACTCCCAAAACACTGCTCTGTAGCTTACCCACCATGCAGACAATGTGTTACCCCCAGTCTGCCCCTGCTCCCAAGGGCAAGGACCTAAAGGCTGAATAAGCCAGCACACGTTATCAGCAATGCCAGGATACCCAAGAGACAGTCCTTGGTGCCAGAGGACAGTAGGAAGGCATGCCAGGAGGGCCGATGCAGGCCTATGCTGATTGCAGGTCATTACACAGGCCTGCTGGCTCTCAAGCATGAACAAACAGCCAAGCCAAAGTGAAAAGGCGATGCACGTTAACTTCAGCATTTATTTAAACAGAAAGCTGTCAATCTGAACAGGAAGGGAAAGGAACTTTTAAAAATGTAACATTGATAAGGAAATAGCCAAAAGGCACGGATGGCTGTTGTATCTTCCCCACTGGAAACCCGGCACCCCCTGGGAGGCCTGCATTTGTTCTAACTTCCTGAATTCTCATACAAAATGGCCCATAGCAGAACCTCTAGCCAAAACCAGCTTTCCCGAATTAAAGTATCTATTTCATCCCTGAAAGCTCAGTGGTCAGACAGCTTCACAATGTGGGATGTCATGACCTCAGTCCCCGCAGTCATCTACTCAGTGGAACCTCTGTGCTGGGGCCACGGATCACAGGAGCTGCCCTGTAGAAACTACCGGGGGCTCGCACTCAGTGGGGCACCGAGTGATCATAAAGACACCAAGTCCAAGTCCCTATCCAGGCTGCTCACCTCTGCAATAGCTTATAAAATCAAGGCTGAGTAGTGAGCTTCTCATACAGTTCATGTTCTGAGATGATAACAAAGTTATTAGCTCAGTGGTACTTTCATATTTAAAATTAAAAGATGACTGGATTTTGTAAAACTTTTCAATAGGTTACTGCATCTGGAAAACAGTGTGAACATCACCAAGAAGCACTGCACATAAACTGACAGGAGCCGCTCCAGTTGCAGGTGACCAATAATAAATACTCTTTTAGGTCATGAAATCAGCATCTCATGATAAACACTTTGGGTGAAGACTGCATAGTTAAGGGGTGCACATTCAGTTAGGGGTGCAGTGTTGATCTCAGCACACACACCTGGGGGCTGGAAGCAGCTAGTGGTTCTCAAGAGTTCTCCTCCCCATCTTTAATTTCAGAAATTCTGTCTATAGATTTAAGGATTTCAGCAACAAGATTCAGTGTTTCTGCCCCAGAAACCAGCTGCCTAAAATGGAAAAACAGATATTAGGGGCAGTTACTGCAGTGATTCAGCAACAGAAGGACTAAAGCAAAGGGGTTCCAGAGGGGAAACCCTCTAGTTGGCTGGGGCTCAATAGGAAAATGACTCTTATTACCCACCAGTGCTGGTATGCTGGCCAGCACCATATACAGTACCATACACCCCAGACTGGGGGCATTTGGCCCCCAATTTACAACAATGGAGAGGAAGCCACTGTTCTTCAGAAATGGAAAGGCAAATTATCTTTCCCCAGGCCATGTGTGTTACAGTAATCTTAAGATGCCTGGGGCGGCCAGGAGCCATGGCCAAACATGATTGAGGGCATGCTGTGCACTGTACTTGGTAGGTAAGCTTTATTAAATAAATTTATGACATAGTGTGCTTTCAATTTCCCATAGGTTTATCAGGATACACCTGTATTACATCAAGCTTCTATCATCATCAATAATAACAGCAACTAACAGTGCCTTCTATGAATGCACCTGATTCTCATAATAGGAGAGAAATTATTATCATTCCCTGTATTCAGAACCTTTGGTGGCTCACATCTGTAATCCTAGCTACTCTGAAGACTGATATTTAAGGATCAAAGTTCAAAGCCAACCTGGGTAGGGAAATTCATGAGATTCTGATTTTCAATTAACCACCAAAAGGCCAGAAGTGGAGCTGTGGCGCTAAGTAATAGAGTGCCAGCTTTGAGTGAAGCTTAGGGACAGTGCTTAGGCCTTGAGTTCAGGCCATAATAATGGCACAAGAAAAAGCTGCCTGGCTGCCATAGCACAGCCTGGTGGCTTAACAAGACCATCCACTGCACTTCCTTCTCTGGAACCCCCCAGTCCAGTTATGGACTGCAGAGCCTAGGTACCACCCGGAACAGCATGCCAACCTTGCCTGTCACCTGCCACGGGGCTTTTGGGCCCCAGTCACTCACTTTATGGATGCGTGTGCGCTGTTCATGACCACACGGAGGTTCTGCAGGGCTACGTCGGTGTTCTGCTTCACCACTGTCAGGCTGGCGCCTTGCCCTGACCGCAGGGCTTCATTCTCCCGCTTGAAGTTGGAGATCTGTGCCTGGGGAGGGTGGAAGATGGAGGAGGGGAGGGAGGAGTCAGCATCGGGGGCAATCCAGTTGGAAACAGATTTCCCTTGGTAGAGACAAGGACTTGGCCTCGGACTGGCACCCCTCGGGACAGATGCTCTTGCCTAGCTGGGGATTCTCCTAAGGGAGGGGCATACACCTCAGACACAAGCATGTACTGAACTCCAGAACATTCTAAGAAGTACATACCCCACCTGGACCTGGGGCAGGGATCCCTTTGTTTCAGGCCCAAACAGAAAACTTTGGCCATTCTGATTTGAAGCAGACATGAGGTAAACCCAATGGAAGGTCGTTCGCTTTTTCTTCTTGTGGTTCTGGAGATTGAACCCAGGGCCTGAACTACATTCCTAATACTTTCCCGTTTTAAAATTTTATTTTGATGGGGCTGGGAAGGTGGCTCAGTGGTAGAGCGCTTGCCTTGCATGCATGAGGCCCTGGGTTCGATTCCCCAGCATCACATAAGCAAAAATAAAAAAAAATTTTTTTTGAGACAGGGGACTACCAAATCGCCCACACTAGCCCCAAACTTGGCAATCACCTGACTAGCCTCCCCAGTAGGCATGTGCCTCCATGCTTGGTTCACATCTTTTTCTTTTTTGCCAGTTGTGGGGCTTGAACTCAGGGTCTGGGCACTGTCCCTGAGCTTTTTGTGCTCAAGGCTAGAGCTCTAGCACTTGAGCCACAGCGCCAATTCCAGTTTTCTGGTGGTTAATTGGAGGTAAGTCTCATGGACTTTCCTGCCTGGGCTGGCTTTAAATCACGATCCTCAGATCTCAGCCTCCTGAGTTGTTAGGATGACAGGCATGAGCAACCAGTGCCTGGCTCACATCTTTTTCTTGAGCTCACATATACATGGCTTCACAGGAGAAAAGGAAACTTTTTTTTTTCCGGGGTAAAGGGGGGTGGGGGGGACCTTGAATTTAGGGCCTGGGCTCTGTCCCTGAGCCTCTCTCTGTGCTCAAGGCTAGCGCTCTACCATCTGAGCCACAGCCTTTCTGTTTATATGGTGCTGAGAAACTGAACCAAGGGCTTCATGCATGCTAGGCAAGCACTCTACTATCAAGCCACATTCCCAGCTAAAAAGGAAACATTTAAGGTCTTTTCTCTGATTACCTGGAGCAAGCTTATTTCTTGCTTTAGCTTCATGACATGATTTTCTGCCTTTACAGCTCGTTTCTGTTGTCCAAAAAAAATAAGCACAGTTATCACTGACAGCACATTCTCAGTACAGGAGACTTATTATCCTGATGCGGCCTTCCCCAGCCCCACCTCTATGGGCAGAGCCTCCAGGACATCTATCCCCAGCACCTGGGCTCTACCCTGGTTCACGGATGGCCTTAGAACCACCCACCCTGGGGTAGAGAGTACCCACAATACCAAGGGATGCTAGTCTACTAGACAGGCCCAGTGAGCACACAAGCACGGTTCGAGGTGTGCCCTGCCCAGCTGGCTAGCCCAGAGCAGAGCCCTCCGTACCGTCATCAGCTCAAGGTTCTGCTCTACTTGCTGGACCACTGACTCCAGGTCATGGAAGTCACTCTCCTCCTTGATCATCTTTGCCTCCAACTTCCGCTCAAGCGTCCTCACCCTTGTAAAGGAAAGGTCTGAGTTGAGTTCATGCAATCACTTTATTTCTCTTTTTATTGGTTGTGGGGCTTGAACTCTGGGCCTGGGCGCTGTTCCTCATCTCTTCAGCTCAAGACCAGCACTCTACCACTTGAGCCACAGCACTCTTGTTTTTTGGCAGGTAACTGGAGATCAGACTTTCATGGACTCTCCTGCCTGGGCTGGCTTTGAACTGTGATCCTCAGATCTCAGCCTCCTGAGTAGCTAGGATTACAGGCGTGAGCCACCAGCGCCTAGCCATGCCATCATTTTCAAGAACACTTTTAAAGACACTTTAACTTGGGTTAGTGGATAAAACACACTGAGAATCTAACCCCATAGGTTGAACCTCAAGCAGAGGTGAGGCAGCAGGGCCTCTTGAACCACTGTGCTGGGATCCCAACAGAAGAAACGGGGCTGCCTTGGGCTGCAGCTCCCTGGAGTTGTGCTGATTTGGGTCTTAATGCTGAAAGATACTTTCATATAGAGGACAAGAAGTGTAGCTGGTGTTAAGAGATTTACAGGGTAGCCGGGTACTTCGATATCACTTAGAAACCACGTTCCCTGAGTGATAAAGTTCACTCCTGACTAAAAGCTTACATACATTTCTGTTTGGCTTTCAGAGAAGCTCTGAACCTCATTCAGCTTTCTTCTTAGCTTAGAATTTTCATCCTTCAACTGTAGAGAAAGAAAATCCTGATTAAAAAGCCCAGTATGCCTCACTCACAACTTTTCTTGTGGTGCTGGGAATGAAATCTAGGCCCCTGTGCATGTGAGGTAAGTGGTCTCCTTACTGAACCACACCCCAGGCAGAAATACCTTTCCTCAGAATTTTTTTTTTTTTTGGTCAGTCATGGGGCTTGAACTCTGGGCTTGGGCGCTGTCCTTGCACTCTTCAGCTCACAGCAAGCGCTCTACCGCTTGAGCCACAGCGCCACTTCCGGTATTCTAGTGTTTTATTGGAGATAAGTCTCATGGACTTTCCTGCCCGGGCAAAGGCTTTGAACCATGATCCTCAGATCTCAGTAGCTAGGATTACAGGCATGAGCCACCGGTGCCCGGCCTTTCCTCAGAATTTGGACTCAGGGTCTTTTGTTTGCTAGGCAGGTGCTCTACCACTTGAACCTTTTTATGCTTTATAGTTGAATTTTTTGGTAGGGGTTTGCCAGTCCTGAGACTTGAACTCAGGGCCTGGGCACTGTTCCTTAGCTTTATCACTTCAAGGCTGGTGCTCTACCACTTGAGCCATAGTTCCACTTCTGGCTTTTTGCTGGCTTGGTAGATAGGAGTCTCATAGACTTTCCAGTCTGGGATGGCTTCAAACCACAATTCTCATATCTCAGTCTCCAGAGTAGGGTTACAGATGTGAGTTACAGTGCCCGGCAGGGCTTGCATTTTTTAGTGTGGCTGGTCCCTGGGGACATCTTCCTACTACCCAGTGCATCCTGCATAACTATTATAGGAACAAGCAACCATGCCTGGTTCATGGATGGAGACAGGGTATCACAAACTTTCTGCCTGGCTGGCCAGGAACCTTGATCCCCTAGCTGCCACCTCCCAAGTAGCCAAGATTACGTGTGTAAGTCATCACACTTTACCAGAACTGATACACAGAAATACCCTAGGTCAATGGAATCAACACACAGCATACTTAGGGAGAATGACCTGTGGCCACAGACTCCAATTCTTCCCACAGAAGTCTTGTAGGATGATTGTTATTGAAAACTCTACTTCATTTAGGATGCTCAACAAGACGTCCATGTCATGGACGTGTCCATGTCATCCTCTTCTGATAACCCAAGCTGCCTGGAGCCAACCAGCTCTTAACCCTCAGTGCTCCTCACTGAGGTTCATACCAAAATCAACCTGAGGTAGCCTTCCCCTTGGAGAAACTCCTTTCTTGTCATTCCTGGGGCTTGAACTCAGGCCATGGGCACTATCCCTGAGCTTTTTTGTTCAAGGCTAGCGCTTTACCACTTTGAGCCAAAGCGCCACATCCAGTTTTCTGGTGGTTAATTGGAGGTGAGTCTCACAGATTTCCATCTCGGGCTTTGAACCATGATCCTCAGATCTCAGCCTCCTGACCGGCTTGTTTTATTTTCTTTTTCAGTGCTGGGGTTGAACCTAAGGCCTCCTTGCACACTAAGCAATGCTCTGGCACTGAGCTCCTCCTCCAGTGCATACCACAGGGACTCACTCTCACAGCATGTTCCCTGAACATCTGTCTGGTCTACGCAGCTATGCCCAGGACACCCAGGAAGCAGGACACTAGGAGATCACTGCTCAGACCTGGGCTCCATGCCCAGCGCCATAAGGCCCTCACTTACTGCTTCATAACTTATCTGCAGTGTCCGCAGGTGTCTGTCTCCTAGGGACTCTCCATGGGCCGCAAAGTCTGTGCTAGGACTCCCTGCTGGAGATGCTGGAGAGACACGTGAGTCTGTGTCACTCAGAGTCCACGGGGGCAGAGACTCGGTCCCAACCAATTCCGACGGGGTGGAGAAAAATGACAGGTAGGTGGCGCAGGGTGATGTGCTGGTGCTGGCCCTGGGCGGGTGGGTCTGCTCCACAGCAGATGGCATATAGGCCCCGTTCCACCCATCGTCCTCGTCGTCCTCTTCATCCAGGAGGTCCCCAGCCCCTGTTGGGTCTTCGAAAAATGGCTGTTGATATTCCAAGCCATACCCCATGGTCTGGGGGTTGGAGGAGCTGTGGTCCAGACCCAGCGTATGCCTCGAGGTCTCCTAGAAACAATGAAGGCAAATGCTGTGACCTGGAAGCCACCACATACCCGTTTTCTTTCTCATGTTCAGCCTGAGACCTGAAGGGATTCCCCTGTCATCTACCCCAAAGGGGCCAAACTTGAGCTGCAATGCTAACCCTCCACTAACAGTAAGAGTTCCCAAGTTTTGCTCCTCCTGCTCCCACTGTACACTCCAAAGTACTGCGAGTTAGAAGAGATGCCCTCTAAAGCCATCTGATGCAGATCTTCACATGTACCTTTGGGTAACTTCTACTGCCGGCTGTGTCCTCTTTGGATAAGCCAAGGTTCTTGGTTTTCAGAAACTCCTTAAATGAAAATGGGTTCGCCTCTTCAAGGTCTTCAAGTTTGTCATCTGAAATGGGCATCGGAAAGACAGTTAGAGGGAACTGTCTCGTTCATCCCTCCAGAGCCCAGCATGTCCTTGGAAATGCCACCACCATCATTTCACCATGACTCAAGACAAGGGGAAACAATGCTGCTTCCTAAGGGGTCAGAGCATACATGCATCTGCATCCTTGCCGCTTCTCAGTCCCCAGTGGAACTCTTTGGTAACACCCCCCTCCCCTTCCTTGGCAGTACTTGGGTTTGAACACAAAGCTGGCTAGACAAGCTCTCCATTGCCTGAGGCTGGTAGGTATGGTTATCTGTGAGGCAGGGTCTCCCTTTCTGCTCAGGCTGGCCTAGAATGTGATCCTTGTGGGTACTTCCCACCATAGCAGGGTGACCCAGTTGTCTCCCGTTTTCTTATAGTGCCACGACCTTATACAACTAGGTAACCACTACACAACTGAGCTCTACTCCAGGCAATCCCTGGAGTCTTTTCTCGTTACTGGGCTGAAGGTACCATGAGATGGGACCCGGAAGCCCCTCAGGTAGTGAAAAGATTGGGAACTGTCCCATCTTCCCACACAGGTAACTAAGTGAACTGTCCCTCAGCCTTTCTCTACACGTAGCCACATTTCAGTCCTTTAGCCTACATGCCAGCCTGGGTAAGTGGGCTCTGACCCTGCTGGCCCCTCTGGTAAAACTTCCCCCTTCCTGGATCTTCCCACATCTACATTCTGTTGCCCTCATCGTCTGCTCCCTGAGTCAGGGTAAAATGCTTGGGGTTCTATCTGTACTTGGTTTTTGTGGCTTAAGGTACACTCCTTATATCCTGGCAAACCAACGGCTTCCTCTGCAGGACATGTGACTGGCACCAAGTGGTGGATAAAGAGAGAAAGAAAGGATCACTGAACTACTCTACCTCCAAAACGTGTCTCATGGGCTCCTGCTGGACCTTGCTTAGTACATTTCCCCTTTCCATAGCCAAAATCTGTAAAGAGACATCATTACCCCACCATGATCACAGGGGATATTACACAGCAGTAGTTTTCTGGGGGCAACTGTGGACTCTCACTGAGGAACTTAAGGGACCAGACCAGGGCTCCTGTCCAGGCAGGTGACCTGGCTCCCAGCGACCGATCCTGATGTCTGGGGCAGCGAAGATGCCTCCAGTAGATTCTGGTGCCTGTGTGTGTGGGCATGCTAGAGATACACAGCTGGACTGTCCAGAATGCCAGTGTGTGTGAGCACACACACGTGTGCGCGAGCACACACACGTGCGCGCACGCTAAACACAGCTGGACTGTCTGAATGCCCTTGTGTGCGTGGAAGTGACACACACCGAGGGCCTGTCCGAATGCTCCAGAACCAGCCCAGCCCCTGACCTAACCGCCTACCCACCTGCACCGGTGCTGGCCGAGTAGCTGCCTAGCTCTGCCTCGCCCGCCGCCAGACGCATCGCCAGCGGCCGCCAACTCTAAGAGTTGGGAGGCTCCCGGCCCTTCCCCGCACCCGGCGGCCCGGGGGCCGGCCTTCCTGCGCGGGGGGCCGGCTGTGGGGAGGGGCTCCCGGGCCAGACGAGAGCTGGGCGGCGCCCGGCCTGCGCGCCCCGGGCGGCCGGCGCCCCGACTCTCACCTGTGTCTCCCACGGAAGCCAGCACCGGGCTGGGCACATAGCACATAAACGTCGGCCGAATGCCGAAGAAGTGGGGGTGCAGGTCCCCGCCATGGGGGCGCTCACAGTCTAGCTGGGGGAGACAAGACCGGCGCTCATAGAACGCAGGAGCTGTAAGCGACAACGAGAGCGGCTTCACCGCGGGCCGCCCGGCCCGGCCCCCCGGCCCCCCGCCGGCCCCGCGGGCCCTCACCGTCGGGAACGACGAGGCTCCGGGCCCGGGACAGCGGGGGCGCGCCCGGGCGGCGCGCGTAGCCCGACATCGCCACGCCCGCCTAGCCCGGCAGCGGCTCCATGGTCGGCCGCTGCGCCGTCGCCCGGCGCCGCTCCCAGCCTCTCGCCGCCGCTTCCGCCAGCGCACCGGAAGCGCGCGCGCGCCGCCGCGGCCGGCGGGGGCGGGGCCCTCGGCGGAAGCGGAAGTGACGGCAGAAGAGCGGCGGTGCGATGGCGACCGTGGTGTCGGCCGCCGCGCGGCTGCTGCGCGGCTCCGGGGCCCGGGGCGGGCGGCCGAGGTGAGCCGTGGCGCGTCCCGGGCGTCGTCCCGGCTTCCGCGCGTCCGGGGGCGCCGGCGGGGCACGCTGCCGGGCCGGGCTCCGTCCCGCGCCGGCCTCGGCCCACCCGGGCGTCCCGCGTGCGGGCGTCCCGGCCACCCCCTGCGGGCGTCCCGCGTGCGGGCGTCCCGGCCACCCCCTGCGGGCGTCCCGCGTGCGGGCGTCTAGGCCACCCCCTGCGGGCGTCCCGCGTGCGGGCGTCCCGGCCACCCCCTGCGGGCGTCCCGGGTGCGGGCGTCCCGGCCACCCCCTGCGGGCGTCCCGCGTGCGGGCGTCCCGGCCACCCCCTGCGGGCGTCCCGCCGGCCGGGCCGGCCACCCCCTGCGGGCGTCCCGCGTGCGGGCGTCCCGCCGGCCGGGCCGCCTCGGGGCCTGGGGCTGCTGGGGTGTCCGCCCCCTGCACCGCACGGGCTGGGGTGAGGCGAGGGGAAGTAGTTGCTGTGCCCAGGGGGTGACTGGACTGAGTATTGACGGTGTACATTTACTGAAGTGAGGTGCGTCTAGTGGTAGAAGGTACTGGAAAAGTCGAGGCAGTGGGATGAGAGGAGGCTCGAGTCGGGCAGGGTGAGATTGAAGCCAGGAGCTGGCGGAGGGAGTAGACGCGCGGAAAGCCCGGAGCAGGAGCGGGAGTTGGGTGCTCAGCAAATGTGTCGCTGGGACGGGCTGACGAGTCATTATGACTTGGACAGCTGGAAGGCGGGAAGAGGCTGGATGTGGTGCCGGGCCTTCCAGACCCCGTGGGACTGTGGCTTCTGGTTAGACTATAGCGAAGGTGTGAAGGGCACAGCTGGCGTAGCTTTGTATGGACACATTAGTTCCTGCTAAAAAGCCTTCTTTTTTTTTTTTTCCGGTGGCTCATGCCTGTAATTCCAGACTGAGGTTTGTAGTTCAAAGCTAGCCCTCTAGCAGCAAAGTCCATGGGCTTTTATTTCCCTTTAACTACCAAAATGTTTAAAGTGGAACTGTGGCTCAAGTGGTAGAGTGCCAGCCTTGATAGAAAAGGCTCAGGGACAGTGCCCAGGCCCCGAGATTGTCCTAGTTATTGACTGAGTGCCCAAAACCTGTAAAAGTAAATGCTTCAGAAAGGGAGAAGTTGCTAGTACTGGGGTTTAAACTCAGGGCCTGGGCACTGTCCCTTAGCTTTTTCAATCAAGGCTGCCACTCTACCACTTAAGCCACATCTGCACTTCCATATTTTTGATGGTTAATTGGTGCTAAGAGTCTCACTAACCTTTGTGTCCTGATTGACCTTGGACTATGATCCTCAGGTCTCAGCCTTCTGAGTAACTAGGGTTGCAGGCCTGAGTCACCGGTGCCTAGCTTGAGAAGTTGACTTTCAATGCAGAGAAAAATAATTCCGTACACCCATGTGGTCATCACAGGTATGGGCGTTTCTATTTCACAGGTTTGGACTCCCTGCACACAGGCAGTTCAGCAGTGGAGGCGCCTACCCCAGCATTCCCCTCTCTTCCCCCTTACCTGGTGTGCCCAAGACTGTTTTTGCTACAGTTGATGGACAGGAAAAGTTTGAAACTAAAGTTACCACACTGGATAATGGACTTCGGGTAGCATCTCAAAATAAGTTTGGGCAATTTTGTACAGTAGGAAGTAAGTACTCCTGGTGCATGGGGTGGTCTTTCATGCTTGACTGTGTGGTGCCCTCAGTTCACTGTCAGTTGTAACTAGCGTACCAGTTATGAATTGTGGCCTGAGTGAAGGCTTGTTAAACAATCAGAAAACAACCCAAATAAGAAGCAGTGGTAATTACTGGTGATTGCATTTAGCAAAATGGCTGTCCCCTTCACCCTCCCTTCTTCCTGTAATTCTGAAGATGTTCACCATGTGCAGGATTCCCTGGAAAGCAGGGCATGGTCAGGATAATGAATGTGCTCCCCTATAATTATGTTGGCCATAACAGTCATGGTTTTGAGAGATTTTTCTAGATTAAATCTGTTTTGATTATTTAACCTGTCAATTTTTTTCCTTATCAGTTCTTATTAACTCGGGATCAAGATATGAAGCAAAATATCTTAGTGGAATCGCTCATTTTCTGGAAAAGTTAGCATTTTCGGTCAGTGTCTAATTTGTAACTTCTGTGACTATGCTCTTGGGTAGGAATACATACACACATATGTATATATTTTTATTTTTTACTTTTTTTTTTTTTGGCCCGTTGTGGGGCTTGAACTCTGGGCTTGGGTGCTGTCCCTGCGCTCTTCAGCTCAAGGCGAGCGCTCTATCACTTCAGCCACAGTGCCACTTCCAGTTTTCTAATGGTTTATTGGAGATAAGAGTCTCACAGACTTTTCCTGCCCGGGCTGGCTTTGAACCGCAATCCTCAGATCTCAGCCTCCTGAGTAGCTAGGATTACAGGCATGAGCCACTGGCGCCCGGCTAAAAGTAATACTTTTTCTTAGATATATTTCAGTTATTCTAAAAACTGCTTATTTAAGCTTTCTTATTTTATAGTCTACTGCTCGATATGACAGCAAAGACGAAATTCTGCTTGCCCTGGAGAAGCATGGTGGTATCTGTGACTGTCAGACTTCAAGGTATGTCAGCTTCATGCATACACAATTATGTGCGTATGTGGAACTCTCCTCTTTGTCTCGGTCAGAGTCCCTTTGAGCCCTTTCTGTTGGGAGGCTGAAGAGATTGATGATGGCCTGAATAGGTGTTGAGTGGAGAACTGGGGACAGAGAAACACAGCCCCCAAATGGGTGCAGACTCCACCAATTCAGCAAGTCTGTCAGCTGGCAGCCAGGGACACAACATGATCTGAGACACTTGAAGGGTGGACACGAGAGCCAGGGCTGGGCGGGGGAATGACAAGTTTAGACTGGAGGTGGAAAGAGGCACAGAAAATGTGGCATTGGGACTGTTCCGGTTGACAAGATGGGGTAGTCTAGATCCAGGTGCGGCCAGTGGCCAGTGCCCAGGTCTGGCTGCAAGCAGCAGTATGGCTGTGGTGCAGCCAAGGCATTTATTTGCCCAGTGTGTGTCGGTACCTAGATTCAAAACTCCAGCCCTGTGGAAGAACCTGAGCAGTGGGGAAGCTCTTCAAGGGGCCCTGGTAAACCCTCCTTGGTCCTGCAGGCCCATGGCTCAGCGTGGCCTCTGCTTTGTCCTCACATGGCTGTGCAGCAGTGCAGCACTCCTCCTCACAGAGCTGTGATCTGGTGTCCTGCACGGGCCCACTCCCTTCTGGGACTTGGATTCGCTCGATCTGACATCCTACTGTTCTGGCTTGTTCCCTCCCCATCCTCCTCCAGCCTTGTGCTGTCTGGAGTGTTAACTAGACTACAAGCTCCCTGAGAGCAAGACCAGAGCTGTGGGAGCTGTGTATGTTTCCACATGGACCAAAGCTGTGGAAGGCCACGAGTATTTGTATGGGCCATGCGCCTTTCCCTGTGGACCAGTCTTCCTGCCAGGGCCTAGGAAGCACAGGAGAACGGGCCTCTCCTGAAAGAGTGTGTTGGTGAAAACTGCAGAAGAGTTGGCTGCGTTTGACTCCATGGTGTATTCCGCACAGGAGCCTCATCTGCAGGCAGCCATGGCTTCTCCCACCAGGGAGTTCATACGAGGGAGAAGGGAAGAAGACTGCAGGTCCTAGACCCAAACAGTAGAAAGTCCAAGCTGGAGCCCCAAGTCCGATGCGAGTTTGGCTCCTAGCAGTGCTGACTTCTCTTTCTTACAGAGACACCACCATGTATGCGGTATCTGCTGACAGCAAAGGCTTGGACACTGTGGTCGGCTTGCTTGCTGACGTGGTTCTGCACCCACGCCTAACAGGTATGAGCCACAAGGCCGCCCTGGGCCAGCAGGCAGCAGGGTCAGTGAAGTGCTGGAGTTAGACCAAGGCCGCCCTGGGCCAGTGGGCAGGAAGAACACTTGTCACTGGAGCTGTCCATTCATGGGCCAGGGACAGTGCGACTTCATTGAACATGGTGCTGATGTTCAGAAAAGTCTGGCGTTGTAGAGTGTTCGGTGCTTGAATACCTTCCTCTGCCCTTTGAGAGTTTCACTAGGATTTAGTCTTAGAGACAGTCACAGACTGCGTCCATACTGCCAGAAGTTTCCACTGCATGACTCCTCCTTCCTTGCGAATGACAGGACTTTGAGTTCCCACTTGGAATGAGCCTTGGGGAAGAGGTGCTGGGCACCCCAGCTGCCTGGCCTCATACCCCAGGCTTAGTTCTGCCTTAAGATCCTGGGGTACTTGGGCTAGCCAGCTGAAAAAGGGCGTCCTGACTGGTTTCCTAAGCACTATCATGTCTGCCCTGGCGCCTGTGAGGCAGCCGGCGTGGGGCAGGGTTAGAGGGAACTAAGGCTCCAGGCCCCAGTCCCTGCTTACCCAGGCTCCTCACACAGATGCCCCGCCCCTCAACAGTGGAAGTGACCCCTGCTCCCACCCAACCCAGCCTAGCTCAGCACCTGGATTAGTGCCACCTTCTGTGTTGTGGCTGGTGCACCCTAAACCCGTCTCTGTTCTTCCAGATGAAGAAATTGAGATGACACGGATGGCTGTCCAGTTTGAGCTGGAGGACTTGAACATGCGACCTGACCCCGAGCCACTTCTCACCGAGATGATCCACGAAGTAAGAGTCCCCATGGCAGTGCCTGCCTTGTGGGGCCCGAGGTCCCTGCGCTTACCTCATAGTTGTATTTGCAGAAGCTGCTGTGTGTGTGGACTTTTGGGTTTCCGTTTCTTAAGTGAGTAACAAGATCTTGGCGGTTCTCAGCTACAGGACCCTTTTAGTTTATATCTTCTGTGAACTTTTGTTCTTGAGAGGTAGATTGCACTACATTTACTTTCTTGGTAGAGAGACTTGAATTCAAGATTTCCCAGCATGCTTGGCAGGCATTGTACTACTTGAGCTATGCCTCTAGCCCATTTTGCTCTAGTTATTTTTGAGATTAGATTTCATAGGGGTTGGAGGCCTGGCTCAGTTGATAGTGCACTAGTCAGTGAGTATAAGTATTAGGTACTGAGTTCAAATCGTGGTCTCAGACCCCCCCCCCCCCAAAAAAAAATAGTATCTCACTTTTTTCCCAGGCTGGCCTGTACTGTGGTCCCCTATTGGTGCTTCCTGCTGAGGTTCAGACATGCCCACTCTCCCATCTATTGGTTGAGATAGATCTTGTGAACTTTTTGCTCAGACTAGCCTTAAACTGAAACTCTCTGCCTCCATTTTTATGCATTTTCTTAACAAGCAGACGGTGTCTGACATGAGCATTCTTTTCTCCAGAGACTGAGCTGGAGGCAGTGCCAGCTGTTGGGGAGACCTCTGTGTTCCATTCCTCACGCGTGTGTCCCTCCCCATTCTCCAGGCTGCATATCGGGGGAACACTGTGGGCCTGCACCGTTTCTGTCCCACAGAAAACATAGCAAAGATTGGTCGAGAAGTGCTTCATTCCTATCTGAGGAACTACTACACCCCTGACCGCATGGTGCTGGCTGGAGTAGGTGTCGATCACGAGCATCTGGTAGAATGTGCCAGAAAGTACCTCCTGGAGGCCCAGCCCGCTTGGGGGACAGCCGAGGCTGTGGAGGTTGACAGATCTGTGGCACAGTACACTGGGGGGATTCTCAAGGTAACCTGCCGTCCTGGCTGTGCGCACACCTGGTGTGGGCTCTGGCGTGCGTGTGCCTCTGTGTGCGTCCCCCCTCAGCGGGCAGCTCAGCCCTGCACAGGCACGGTGTGACATGCACTGTGTGATAGAATGAGTGGAGAGAGGCCAAGAGTGCTGTGTGTTCTTTGTCATGTTTCTCGTAAACTTTCCTGTTACTTTTACTTCTTTTTTTCCTTTGGCTGGTCCTGGGGCTTGAAATTAGGGCCTCCAGGGACCGGGGAGGTGCCTCAGTGGTAGAGTGCTTGCCTCACATGCATGAGGCCCTGAGTTCGATTCCTCAGCACCTCATAAGTAGAAAAAGCAGGAAGTAGCGCTGTGGCTCAAGTGGTAGAGCGTTGGCCTTGAGCTGAAGAGCTGAGGAACAGCTCCCAGACCCAGAGTTCAGACCCCCACAACAGAAAAAAAAGAAAAATTTGGGTCTTTGTCTCTCTGTGCTCAAGGCTAACACTACCACTTGAGCACCACTTCTAGTTTTCTGGTGGTTCATTGGAGATGAGTCTCACGGACTTCCCTGCCTAGGCTGGCTTTGAACTGCGATCCTCAGATCTCAGCCTTCTGAGTAGCTAGGAAGACAGGTGTGAACCACCAGCATCCTGCTCATTCTTACTTTTAAAAACAAAGAGGCTGGGCGCTGGCTCATGCTTGTCATCCTAACTATGCAGGAGGCTGAGATCTGAGGATCGCGGTTCAAAGCCAGCCCAGGCAGGAAAGTTTGTGAGACTTATCTTTAATAAACCACCAGAAAACCAGAAGTGGTGCTGTGGCTCAAGTGGTAGAAGTACTTGCCTTGAGCTGAAAAGCTGAGAGACAGCACCCAGGCCCAGAGTTCAAGCCCCACAACTGATTTTAAAAAAGAAAGGAACTGAGTTTGGGCCGAGAGCCTGCTTGTGCACGACTTGTCCACCCTTGCACACAATCTCAGCCTAACACTTGTGTGGCCTCACAGGTCGAGCGGGACATGTCCAATGTCAGCCTGGGCCCAACTCCCATCCCCGAGCTCACGCACATCATGGTCGGCCTCGAGAGCTGCTCCTTCCTGGTGAGTGCAGGGTGGGTCGGCGCGCCCAGGTCGGTGGTGAGGCCACTCGCGGGTGACCCCACCCCACTGTCCTTTCCTGCAGGAGGACGACTTCATCCCCTTTGCCGTGTTGAACATGCTCATGGGAGGAGGGGGCTCCTTCTCGGCCGGTGGGCCTGGCAAGGGCATGTTCTCCCGCCTCTACCTCAACGTGCTCAACAGGTGGGTGCTGCCTCTGGCGGGCACTGCCTGCCTTCTGAGACCACTCGAGAGCTAGGCTCTCGGGGCTCACGCCTGTAATCCTAGCTGCTCAGGAAGCTGAGGTCCAAGGATCACAGTTCAAAGCCAGCCTAGGCAGGAACGTCCTTAAGACTCAGCTGCAGGTGGCAAGGTGGCACAAGTAGTAGAGCACTAATCTTGAGCGAAAAGGGCAGTGCCCAAGCCCAGAGTTCCAGCCCCAGGACTAGGGGGAGGGGGGAGAGGGGGACGGGGATGTGCATGTGAGCCATGTTTTCTGCAGTGGCTCATGACGTGATATGGCCATGACCTCCCCCTCGGCCTCTCCGTGTCCCTCACAGGCACCACTGGATGTACAATGCAACTTCCTATCACCATAGCTACGAGGACACGGGCCTCCTGTGCATCCATGCCAGCGCTGACCCAAGGCAGGTGAGGGCCACGCTGCATCACCTCCGCCCCCGCCCCCCCCCATCATGACCCACCTGGCCAGGCTGACAGGCCCAGATCACACCCTCATTTTCACTCTTGCTCTTCTCCATAGGTTCGAGAAATGGTAGAAATCATCACAAAGGAGTTTATTTTGATGGGTGGAGCTGTTGATGCGGTGAGTGAGGCCTCTGGACCCCTTGCAGCCTGTCCCAGCCGGGTTTGGGTGGCCGGCGCCTCTCTGGTCTCCCAGCCCCAGCCGCAGGACACTGCGCTCTCTCTGCTGCCCACAGCAGTCGTGAGTGAAGGCAGCCCTGGGCCTTTTCCTGGCTAGAACATACTTTTAATACTCACGTGAGTTTTAAGTTTTTAAAAATTTACTTACTAATTTTATTATCTTTAGGTAGCTGTACAAAGGAGTATTCAACAAAGCAGTATGAATGCAATCCACCTTGGTTTTTTCTTTTTTTTTTCTAGTCCTAGGGTTTGAACTTAGGGCCTGGGTGCTGTTCCTGAATTCTTTTGCTCTACTACTTTGAGCCACAGCACCACTTCAAGTTTTCTGGTGGTTAGCAGGAGATAAGAGTCACAGACTTTCCTACCTGGGCTGGTTTGAGCTGTGATTCTCAGATCTCCGCCTTCTGAGTAGCTAGGATGACAGGCATGAGCCACCCATTGCCCAGCTAGTTTGCACTTATTTTGATGTTTGGAAGGTCTGTCACTTCCTGGGCCAGAACTGGTTAAAGTAAAATTTTTTAAAAAGCCAATTTGCATACACCTGGGGAACTGCCAGTGCCCAGATGCACGTGCCGTGCATGCGCTGTGGGCCTCCAGCTGCTGGTGCTTGGTAGCACACACTGCTTGCAGGTTTTCTTTGCTGCATGTGTTTTCTAAATTTTCTCTAGTGTTCACACAGTTACATTGTAATCAGAAAGGAATTATTTACTTAGGAAATAAAACCTGTTGGAACTTCAGTACTTTGCTAGGCGTGGTGGCAAGGGAGCTCTCTTACTCTAGTATCTTGCTAGAAAATGCTTTCTGCTAATGTCAGTTTGGGATAAACTAATAGTATGTAAATATCTGTCTGAAATGCAAAAAGAAAAATGACCTGTGCAGAGTGAAGACTTCCCTTCCCTAGAGAGGGTAGCGCGTCTCCACGGCCATCTGCTTCCCATTGTGTGCTTTACAAAGTGGCGGCCCGCAGACCCGGTAGCTGATTGTTGCTTGTGCTGCTCTGGGCCTTCATGACCCCATTCCTCGAGCCACAGTGTTTTGTCCACACCCGGCCAGAGGCTCAGTGTGTGCAGAGCACCATTTGGTGGATTCCCCAGAGGCCTGGGGCACTTTGGTGAGCTGTCGCCTGGCCCAGGGTATGCAAGGACCCGGATCTGCTCTTCACTATTTCCTCCTGGTTTCCTTATGTGGTCCGCTTTGGGGCCTGGCCTAGAACTGAGCATTTCACCTTCTGCAGCAAGCAGCCAGGCAGCAGGGAGTTGGGGCACAGCACCCTCACGCCAGGTGTGCCTGGAACCTTTGGGCCCGTGGATGGCCTTTTTGCTGGGATGTGTTTTGTTTTTTTTTTTGTCGGTCGTGGGGCCTGAACTCTGGGCTTGGGCACTGTCCCTGAGCTCTTCAGCTCAAGGCTAGCACCCTACCACTTGAGCCACAGTGCCACTCCAGCTTTTTCTCCTTATGTGGCGCTGAGGAATTGAACCCAAAGCCTCATGCACGCAAGGCAAGCGCTCTACCACTAAGCCACCTTCCCAGCCCCCTGGGATATGTTTCTGTGAGTCCCTCTGCCAACTAGAGCTAGCTGTTGGTGACCATGGAGGTGTGTGTCCTCAGGTGGAGCTGGAGCGGGCCAAGACACAGCTGATGTCCATGCTCATGATGAACCTGGAGGCCAGGCCTGTGATCTTTGAGGACGTGGGGAGGCAGGTGCTGGCCACCCATTCCAGAAAGCTGCCCCATGAGCTGTGCACACTCATCCGTGAGTACGCGCTCAGTGAGGCAGCCGCGCGTGGGGGGGTTGGACTGTGGGGGTGGACAGGAGTCCCTTAGGGTCCGCTATACATAAGCCTGGTGTTCACTAGGCAGCCTGGGTAGGGGGGCTGGGTTGTGGGCACTCACAGCCTGCCTGGCCTGCGCTGGCTCCTCGGAGCGTGTGACCTGGCTTCCCTGCAGCCCGCCCTCCTGGGCCTACAGTCCTGCTGGGACTCGGGAGCACCCTGTCCTTCCCTTAGGAGCCTGCTCCGGTCCTTGATTGCAACTGTCCAGTCTCCTGAGGCTTCGTCTTCTCTAAAAAACAAACCTAAGCTGGGCACCAGTGGCTCATGCCTATAATCCTAGCTACTCAGGAGGCTGAGATCTGAGGATCATGGTTCAAAGCCAGCCCAGGCAGAAAACTCCATGAGACTTTGATCTCCAATAAACCACTAGAAAACCGGAAGTGGCGCCGTGGCTCAAGAGGTAGAGCGCTAGCCTTGAACTGAAGAGCACAGGGACAGCGCCCAGGCCCAGAGTTCAAGCCCCTTGACCTGGTGGCTTTCTGGGCCCCTTTTTCTTCTTTCTCCCTGTCTCCCTGTCTTCCTCTCTTCCTTGTCTTCCTCTTTCCCCCTCTTCCCCTTCCCCAACTCCCCCCTCCTCTTCTCTCCTCGGCTCCCTCTTTCTCTCCCTTCCCCCTCCTCCACTCCCTCCTTCTCTCCCTCCCCCTTCCTCCACTCCCTTCTCCTCCTCCCTTTTGTGCTAATAGAGGGTCTTGAACTCAGGTCAGGGCCTGGGTGCTGTCCCTCAGCTCTTCAGGTCAAGGCAAGAGCTCTACCACTTGAACCATAGCACCACTTCCAGCTTTTTCTGCTTATGTGGCGCTGAGGAATCGAACCCAGGGCCTCATGCATGCAAGGCAAGCACTACCACTGAGCCACCTTCCCAGCCCCCCTTAGCTTTTTTGCTCAAAGTGTGCTCTACCAGTTGAGCCACCACTCACTCCACTTACAGATTTTTAATGGTTAATTAGAGACCAGAGTTTCGTAGACTTTGCTGCCTGTGAACTGTGATCCTCAGATCTCACCCTTCTCCGTAGCTGGGATCACAGCATGAGCCACTGTGCCTAGCAGCTTTAATTTTTAGACAGGATCTGATTATAGTTCAGGTTGAGCTGCAACTCTGAATCCTCTCTCTAAACATTGGGATTACAGGCATACACCCCCAAGCATGGCTGTCTGATGCATTTGAAAATAACTAGAGCCATCGATAGCTTCGCTGTGGGCTGGGAGCTGCCTCTGTCCTTTCAACCTGGCCCACCCCCCCCCCTCAGCGGCAGGGGGCCTGGAGCCCTCTGCGGCGCCCAGGCTGGCCAGAGTAGCGCACCTCAGCCTCTCCACCCCGGTGCACACACATGTGCTGGCATTGGCCCAAAGCTCTCTCGCTGTCCTTGCCAGGCAATGTGACGCCGGAAGACATCAAGAGGGTAACTGCCAAGATGCTGCGTGGAAAGCCCGCGGTGGCTGCTCTGGGAGACCTGGCTGACCTGCCCACCTATGAGCACATCCAGTCTGCGCTGTCCAGCAGAGATGGGCGTCTGCCCAGGACGTACCGGCTCTTCCGATAGAGCCCCTCCTTATCCCTGGGGGCCTGAGGCTGCAGGCGAGCCTGCTTCCACACGTGTGCCTGTGTGACTCAGTGTAAGGCGGTCTGGTCTGGCTGTATAAACGGCATGCACAGGGGCTGTTGACCTGAATGAGCTGATGTGGTCTTCATGGAGCTTTCCCCAAGGAGCAGGCACCGCCCTCGCGCCAGGGAGAGGCAACAGAGCTTAAGGTGCTGGGTTGGGAACCACCTTTTGCTGCCTCAGAGCTGGGCCCCTAGAGCTGGACATGTGCTCCCCCGCGCCTGACACCCAGCCTGCAGCTGCTGGAAGAGCTGGAGGCTGGGCCGGCCTGACACTGCACACAGGCTTGAGTGCCAGTGGCCTGCTTGTGCTGCCACAAGAGCATAGGCCCTGCCAGGAAAAGAGTGGCTTCTACCACAGTATTCCTTCGCCCTCAGCTGAGAGACAGCCTAGGAAAAGATCCTTAGTGGCCACTAAATAGCAGCCCGCACCCTGAGAATTGCCTGTGTGGTACAGCATTTCAGCCTCTTTTGCCTCCATTATGAAATGCATTTGGGTTCAGGAAGTCATCGTGCTGCTATACTCCGGACAGGGGCTTCCTTAGGCCAGAGTCAACCCATGGTGCCAGCATAGCCTGTAGTCAGACGCTTGGCGGTGGAGAGATGGGCCTTGAGCCTGTGTGTGCCACTGCAGGTGGTCCTGGAACATGAGTAGTTCTCAAACAGACTCTTGCAGAACTTAGCAGGAGCTCTGGCAAGGGTTGGGCCTGGGAAGCTAGATAAGCCACAGGGGCAGTTCCTACCAATTGGTGGCACATGGCAGTCCATGGTGTGGGAAGCTGTGCTGCATGGTTTGTTAAAGGCAGCAATCTCCCTGCTGTCTGTAGTGAGTACTGAGAAACCCAGACTTTCCAGGCATCAGTATGAGATCTGAGGATCATGATTCAGTGATTCAAAGCCAACCCAGACAGGAAAGTATAAGACTCTGATCTGTAACTAACAATCCAAAAACCAGAGGTAGAGCTGTGGATCTGGTGGTAGAGTTGCTACTCCTAAGCAAAAAAAAATCTAAAGAACAGCGCCCAGGCCTTAGGTTTCAAAGGATCTGTACCCAAGACCCCCAAAAACTAATCCCCCCCCCCAAAATGGGGGCCCAGCCCTAGTACCTCCTAGTTTGTTTTAGCCTGCCACCTGTCCTTACTGTCCACAAGGGAAGTGTCTCCGCAGACTACTGGCTGGAAATCACTCCATCCCCTGCAGCTGGAGCACGGGAATGGTCTGCCTGAGACCCCTACCATGAGCCAGGTGTTGGGACTTAGTAGTTACCACGTGGGGATGAGGCTACCGCTGGAGAGAGCCTTGCAAGACAGGTGCCCCCAAGAAGGTGTAGTCACAGCTGGAGCCAGCTGCCCGGGGTTCCTCTTCACCTGCCAGCCGTCTCAAGACATTCAGAACACCAGGAGTGGTGTTCTGAAAGCTGGCACTGCCAGCCAGGGGCTGCTCTGCAGTGACTTGTTACACTTCTTTGCCTGGGGCACCCGCTGTGCCCTGCTCTCTGTGCCAAGGCTGCTCCCTCCTTCCTGTCGCCCTCTGGGCTTCCAGCTCCCCTTCCTTAAACACTAGTGTGCAAAACTTCTGCCTGCCCCGTGGATTCTGAGGTCTAACAGCACTGTGCGCCACAACCAGTAGAGCCCCACGGGGTGGAAGGCAAGCCAGGCTCAATGGTGTATTCTTTTGCTAGACTGGCACTCTACCACTGAACCGTACCAGCAGACCTTTTGCTGCCCGGGCTGGCTTTGAGCTGTGATCCTCAGTTCTCAGCCTCCTGAGTAGTCAGGATTACAGGTGCAGTCCACCAGTTTCAAGGCTTTGTTGTGTTTTGTGAGCCAGGAGCACTGGGTATAGCCCAGGTGGTGTCACTCAGCATCCTGAGTGCTGGGATTATTCGCTCTGGAACATGCTGCCTAGTTAACCATGAGCTCAGTTTTAAAGACACCTGGTTAGATTTTCATTAACCTGAATTTTTAACTTTCCAATTGAAATGCTGTAATGCTAGTGTCAAGTTCATTCACCACACTTGGGCTCCTCAGATGTAATGACTTCCCAAGATTCAGCCGAAACTAAGGTGCTCCAGTGTCCGAAGGGTTTGGCTCAGCCTGTAAAGGGTGTCAGTGGCTCACACCTGTAATCCTAGCTACTCAGGAGGCTGAGATGTGAGACTTGAGGTTTGAAGACAGCCCAAGCAGTAAAAATTTGTGATTGTCATCGCTAGCCACCCACCCAAAAAACCAGTAGTAGAGCACCAGCCTTGAACAAAAAAGCCCAGGAACAGCATGTAAGGCCCAGAATTTAAGCCCTATGACTGACAGAAAAATCCTTCAAATCCTTCTCATTTCAAGCCTCATCACCACAAAAACCTTGCAGACAGACTGCCGATTTATTTGGAATCAAGCAAAACTAGAGTCTGGCCATCTGGGTAGCTTGAGGGATGACCTACCCTGGTCACAGCTGCATTGCCTTCAGGTTCACGTGTTTGTAGAAGCTGGTGCTAACAAGCGTCACCTGGGGTCTGCTTGGACTGCAAGTCATTGCAATTCGGGTCAGTTAGTCTGGAGCAGCGGCCCCTCTTGGCTAACCCTGCGTGTGTCTTGAGCAGCAGACTGGCGCTTTGTAGCCTTGAGAATGAAAAGGGCCTGCATACAGATGCTTCCTTCGAAGACTCAGCCTTGGGCTAGAAAGTTCACAATTCAATATACACATTTATTTAAAAATATAAATATGGAAAAATAAATAATTTTAGAAGACTGGTGTGGCTATCCCTAGGTTTTAATACACTCAAGGGAGCAGCAGAGGGTTTTAAGCTCTAGGGACGGGAGGCAAGGTGGAGCTGTCTGACTTAGGGTGTGGTCCCGTTCTGTGGCTGCTGTCACTAAAGCAGATGGTCGCAATCCATAGAACTCGAGTTTCACAAGGCCGGGCTTGGCCTGGGGGGGGGGGGGTCGGAGCCCTGAGACAGCCTAGCAGAGGGATGCCAGGCCACATCCTCAAGTGTCTAGCTTTGGTCTCTGGTGGCAGGGTTCGTGGCAGCTAGGGTCTGAGTGTCCAGGAGATGCCCAGCCCTGACCCGGATGCCTGTGTGCCCATGTGAGGGTTCTCTGTGGACACCTAGAAACTAGGGCTCTGGTTTGGGGTGTGAGTGAACGGAGGAGAGGCTTCTGGCACTAGTGGGCATGAGGGGAGGCACCTCGTTCGGTCCACAGCTGTGTGGGGGTTGAGGGGCGCCCCCTGGAGGCAAAGGCCTGCCATGCACCCACGGGGACGTGCCAAATGAGAACCGCTCACCCAGCTAGAGGAAGGCCGCTTCTGCCCCACGACAGCCCCCCCCCCCCCCCCAGCTGCCCATCACTGCTGCTGCTTGTGAGGAAGCAGGACAGGACTCCCAAAGGGGCAGGAGTTGCCCAAGAGCAAACTTCTGCCTTTGCAGCGGCCTGTGCTCCAACATTCGCCTGGGCTGCCATGACCCGTCTCCAGAGAGCGACTTCAGGAAACAGTACAGACAGTGCTGGAGCTCTGGTTCTTCAGCACTTGCTGTTTCTGCATCTCTTTTGAAATCCGTCTTTTAATTCCTATCAAGTACAGTTCTCGGTCAAACTTGCCGGCAGCTAGTGGGATGCTGTGGAGGAGGAAGCGTCAGGAGAGCGCCCAGCAGGAACTAGGGCTTTCTCATCTAAAGCCCTGTGCCTGTTCCCAAAGGGCCCAGCCGGGGTCACAGGGCAAGCTTCTGCATGCGCCGCGGGCTCATGGGGCAGTGACCACAGGGTTGCTGGTGCCACAACTCAGGAAGGGTCACCCCACTTGACAGGAGCCACTTGGAGCCCAAGCTTCAGCCCACTGCTGTGCGGGAAGACACCCAGAGGGACTTACTTGTCCCGTCCTGGCCTCACTTTGACCCGGAACAGGCCGTACACAGGGCGGTGGTCAGATGTCTTGATGCCAAGGCAGGAAGAGTACTTTAAGGGACAAATGTCCCCCTTGTGGCGGCTTCTATACAAGACTCGGTCCTTTAAGAGACAGTGAAGCAGGAGCAGAGCTAGTGCAGGCCGCCCCTCTGCACGGTGAGCCCCGGGCCCCAGCCCCAGATCACCCAGCTCTCTGGCAGCAGTGGGAGCTGTGTTGCCTCTGTGGCCGCCCCACTGTCTCTAAACCATGCCATGCCCAGCATGAGACCTGGGCTGGTAAGAGCAAGACCAGCTGGGTGCAAGGGCTTCCCACTCACTCCTTCCAGGGGTGGAGCTGTATGGAACGAGGGCCCAGGGCCAGGGCCCATGTAGCGGCAGGACATGCATGAGCTGTGCCCAGCCGTGCGGCCCGGAGGGGGCCTTGTCCCACGCACACTTGGCCAGCCAGCCGTGCGGCCCGGAGGGGGCCTTGTCCCACGCACACTTGGCCAGCCAGCCGTGCGGCCCGGAGGGGGCCTTGTCCCACGCACACTTGGCCAGGTAGTCCCTGGCCTCAAGGCAGCTGCCTGGCTGGATGTCATGTGTCAGTGCCACCCAGGCTGGTGGTGGTCACCAGTGCTGGGACCATACCGTGTAGGAGGGGGTTCTCTGTTTGGAGGTGCTGTCGTAAGTATCCTTCCCAATATCAAACTTGTATGACGGGAGGAAGTGGATATCGGGCTCCTGGAAGCCCTTGAAGATGGACCCTGCAAGGAGCACGCAGGTCGTTAAGAGAAGCTCAAGGAGCCTGCTGCCTGGCCCAGGCTGCCAGCCCGCGCTGCCCGGCCTCGCACCACCCACCTTTCTTCATCTCCCGGGTGAGCTGGTCATGCCGCAGCAGGGCTGGCACGTCCACCTCCAGGTCCTGCTTCAGGATGGCCTCCACCGCCCGGCGCCCTCCGCTCAGGCGGAAGTTGAAGTCTCCAAACCAGAACACCTCATCGAACCGGGTGGTGACATCCGCTGGGCACACGGGGAAAGAGAATGGCGCTGGCCTTCGCGAGTCCCAGGCCACGAAAGGGGACTCATCTGTGCTCCACTCCCCAGAACCACAGCCTGGCAGCAGCTCCGGGGACCGGCAGGAGCATCAGAGGGGCGCTGCTCAGGCTTTGTGGTTGAGTTGAGCCCACGGCAGGTGATCCAGAGGGTACCCAAGCAGTCCCCCAAACCTCCAACAGCTGTCCTGATGGGTATGGGATGGACCACGTCTTTCCAGTTCCTTTGCCCAGCCCGACTAAGCACAGCCAGTGGTCAGCAAGGAACAGCTGGGCCCAGCCAGTGCACGGCGGTCTCAGTGGGAAACTTCCTGCGCTCGGCCTCTCCAGAGCCCCAAGAGAGTGTGGGGCAGAGGTCACAGTCCTCACCTGCGCTGGAGCGGTAGGGGTTGGTGTCTGGTACAGTCCTGGGCAGGGCCAAGGCCTGGATGGTCCTGGCGTAGTCCATTAGCCTCTCGGCCACCTTTCCGTCTCCGGCTGCGGGAACAGGACAGGGGTGGGGTGGGGCCTGGCACCTGTGGCCTCCGATGCATCTAGGGTGGAGAGGAAGCTGCCCTCACAGGGCAGTGACTTACAGGTGAAGTGAGAGGTGATGAAGAGGAAGGAGGTGCCGAAGAAGGTGAAGCTGAGGCCCAGGGCTCCCTTGGTCTTGATCTGAGACACGATCCGAGTGGTCACAGTGGAGCATTCCACCTCTGTGTGACGGGGCAAGGGGACTCAGTGGGCAGTGGGGCCGTGCCCGGCTGGGCATGCCGTGTGTTCTCTCCCCACCCCCTCCGCCATGTGGTTGGATGGGTGCTGCTGGCACCTACCCGAGCAGAACCAGATGAGGTCCCTGCGGATGAACAGGGACATGTACAGCACCCCGTGCGCGGCGGAGGACAGCAGCACGTACCGGGGGCCCAGCGTCTCCTGCAGGCGCGTCTCCCACTCCCGCCTGGAGGAGGAAAAAGGACAGTTGGGGACACAAGGGCTTTCAGCCCCACTTCCCCCTTCCTCCCCGGCCGGCCCCAGGGAGCACCAGAGGCGGCTCCCTGATTTTGCTTCATCAGGCTGCACGAGGAGACATTTATTCACCTTTTTTGGCAGTACTTGGATTTGATTTTCTGGGGTCTTAGGCTTGCTAGGTTGATGCTCTACTCTGAGTCTTTGGTCCCCTAACATCATGGGCTTTAAATGGCCCAAACCACTGTTCATGAAGAGGCTGGTTTGCATTTCACCAGACACGGAGGCAGGCTGCCTGTACAGCTCACTGGGGTCTCAGCCTCTCGGCTTGTCCTTGTGCTCTCAGGACACCGGCCAGCCTCGTGGTGTTCAACAGGGTTTGCTGCCCAGGGGTAATCACAAGGTGCCCTGCACCCTACCTGTCGGAACAGCCTTCCTGGACCCCGATGACGTACAGGTCCTGGGTGTAGTCGGCCTCGCTGGGCAGCAGGAATTCGTCCAGGCTCACTGGGAGCTCCTGCAGGGGAGACGCACGGGGTTACCAGGGCCGCCAGACGCCTCCCAGGCCAGCGTGCGAGTCCTTGCTCTGCCCAGGAGGCGATTATGAGGCATCTCTTCTGAAGGAGCCGGCGCCCGGCGGCATGCAGCCTCCCAGAGGGCTCAAGTGAGGGCAGCTCCCTTAGCTCCCTCTTTTCCTCCCCAAAGCATGAGTCTGTCTCCCAGCAGCTCCCCACCCGTGCGTGGCTCCTCCCTGCCGTGTACCCCCCAGCCTGGGCTGACCGCCTCTCTGCGCAGACACCATTGGGCATGCCCAACACTGGTCTCTCATGGAGACTCATGGTGGGAGGTATGGCTGGGGGGCCAGAGGGGGTACCCAGCTGCCCTCCTCACACACATGCAGTGTGGCTGGCAGGGGCTGGACCAGGGCCAGGAGTTCCCGCCCCTGAGGCGCAGCTGCCCCTGAACCCGAGCCTGCCCCACTCCAGCTCTCTCACCTTCTGGCCCTGCATGTTCCAGGTGGCCACAAATAGGGCCACATTCCGGTCTGGGAAGTACCTAGCCAGCTCATCTGCCCCCAGCAGGGCCCCGCTGGCCAGGAGACTCCCCTCCAGATAGCTCCTGCAAAGCAAAAGCAGACAAAGGGCTCTAGCATGACAGCGCTCAGCTAGCTCAAGAGTCTCCTGCATTCAGGATGGGGTACATGGGGACTCAGGACTCGTGGTCCCTGGGGCTATGAGGCCCTAAGAAACAACCTGAATGCCCACAGGATGCCAGTGAGCCATCTGCCCTGGACTGGGATTTCTCCTGGCCAGGACACCAAGCCCACGCTCAGCTGTGACATCTCAAGCATGGCTAGCTGGGGACAGGAGGGCGTCTGGCCCTGGAGATGCCAGCGCTGGCCTCGCAGGACACACAGGTGCCCCATACGCCACAAGGCTGGCCAGCCAGCCACGCAGACACGCGGCATGGGCGCAGCTCTGAAGGCCGTCCGGTTTCTGTTGCGTTGTGTGGCTCTGAAACTATGGTGCAAGAGCCACAACAGACCCCATACGAACAACACCATGGCTGCGTGCCAGAAAACGGTATTTACAGGCACTGAACTCTGAATGCAACCTGATTTTTTCCCAGCCATTTCTAAATAGAAACGGCTTTGATGGTTGCCTGCGGCTGGGCTTGCGGGGCCCTGTCCCTCCCCCCCCTGCTTCCCTCTCCAGGTACATTCTCCAGACCCTACCAGGGGCGGCGGCAGTGGCCACCCACCCTGCTCCACAGGTCTGCGTCCCTCCCACCCGCCTTTCCAGCGGGGAGGGCTCTGCCTAGGGCAGAGGGAGGGCTGCGTCCGGCTTTCTCACCCTGCCAGCTGTTCCCGTGTGCTCCACCACATTGCCTGTACAGTCCTTTCTTTCTAGAAGCCTTCCCTGCAGAACGCTATCCAAACTTTATTCTACTCCGCCTGGCGCCAGCCCTGGGCTAAAGGAGGGCACTGCTAAGCCAGGAGTGGTCTCTACAGTGAGAGGAGATGGCTAGAGGGTGAGGTCCGTCCAGACGCTCCTATGACAAGCCTAGGCAGCGCCTTTCACACCCTCCAGGGTGAGGACACCCCGTCTTCTGTGTGCCACACCCCAGCAGCCTCCAACAGCCACAGGCACAGACTGATCAGGCTGACAGATGACACGGAGAAAATGGAAAACAGGTAAGGCACAGTGGCTCACAGCTGCAACCCAGCTACCAGAGAGATGGAGATGATGAAGGAAGGATGCTCGAAGGCCGAAGTTAGTGAGATTGCATCCCAAAAAACCAAGCTAGGTGTGATGGCACACACTATAATCCTAGTGGCCCGGGAAGCCATAGGAGGAGGGTGGCAGGTGGGAGGTGACAGCCAAGGCCGATCTCGTGTGTGTGTGTGTGTTCGTTCTAGTACTGAGGTTTGAACTCTGGTTGTAAGCACTTGTCAAGTTTATGGCCTTAAGGCACAGCAGGCTCCACTGCCCTTGGCTGTAGCTGGCCTTTGCTGCTCTCCCAGAGCAGGGAGGCACCAGGCCATGGCCGTGGAAGCTCCACAAAGCCCAGAGCCAGGGCAGGTAGAGAGCACAGGGAGGAGGAAGGTGCTGGGCCCTGCCTCACCCACCACTGTCCAAGGCAGGAAGCTGAGGCTCAATCCTCATTTTCTAAGTGGTCAAGCTAATCCAATTGCACACAACTTAAGAACTGTGGCAGTGCTTCACGGTGCAGATAGTCTCTTTAAAAGGCCCCCCCATGGTGACCAGTGTAACAGAGGTGATGGGTCTGGTCTGTTAACATCTAAATGGGCCCAGGGGCTCACTTCCGGTGTGGTGAGGAGGGCTCACCTGCAGAGCCAACCACAGGCCCATCTTCCGTGGCCACAGGAAGTGGAAAGGAGGCTCCAGAACCTCAGAATGTAGCTTTTTTGGACACAGTCTCCCCAGAGGAAATTGCTTTGGCATCTCTGGGCGGGAGCCCGGGTGCAATGACCACGGTAATGCAGCCTCCAGCCAGGACGTCTGCTCTCGGCAGCGGGGCAGAGCCGCTGGACCTCTGCCTCCATAGCTGGGATCGCTTGAAATCTGGTGTGTGGGCACTTGAGGGCAGCCCCAGCAGGATGAGACTGGACTTTGAGGGGGAAGGGGAGGAGAGACATGAGCTCGGGGACTCCAGATGAACGCAGACTCTGGCTTCAGGAAAGGGGCACCAGGACCGTGCTTGGCTGTCATGGGCAGAGAAAGGCTCCCATCAAGTGAGTTTCTACAGATTACTAGCATTACAGACATGCTGGGAAACAAGGACCTGCACATCCTCAGTGTGGGAGACCAGACGAGAAGCTGAGAGGAGTGCTCAGCAAGCTGCATCTGGGATGTGGAGCATCTGCAGCTCAGGATACTGTAGAGGCTCCCCGAATCTCCTGGGGGGCGGAGGACAGGGGCACCCAGCCTGTGCAGCTCTCCTTATGAGTGAGCAGGTTTACACCTGGCTAAACATCCTGATAATATGCCACCTTGTGCCCAGAGGCCATGGGAGAAGCATGCTCAGCCCTTCCAGTGGCACCCCTGGGCTCCTAGAATACAGTTAGCAAATAACAGCATGAGAATGGAGGTATGGCTCAAGTGAGAGCCAGCTGAAGTAAGCAAGCCAGCAAGCCAGCCAGCCGAGGTGGTGAGTTCAATCCTTGGAACAAGGAAAAAAAGAGAGAAACCAGGTTCAAGGTAACATGGCTCTGACAAAAACACCCATTACAGGGTGCTGGAGGCTCACATCTGTAATCCCAGCTACTCCAGATGCTGAGATCTTAAGGATCATAGTTCAAAGCCAAGCCTGGGGCAGCGAAGTGTGCTCCATCTCCAAAATAACCAGCCACTGAAGTAGTACAACTTAGCAAGCAGGCATGCTGAAGTAGCAAGAGGCCCTGCGTTCAAACTCCAAAACAAAACAGTCCCACTGACAACGAATGCTATCTCACACAAAGTACAAAAAGACAAACTCCAGGAGCAAGAAGAGGGCTGGAGTCCAGTCTCATCTGCTTACACAAGGAGTGAGCACAGTGACCCGCTTGTACAGGTACACTGTGCCCATGGATGGCACTGAGTCACAAAGGAAAAGTTCTGGAAGGACATTGTGTCTGGGAGACCTGCCTAAATCTCTGCCGGTGCATCTTAGATAGTCTCTATGGGGTGTTCGTGTGGTCCCTCACATAGTGACCCTAGAGCAGGGGTCACCGGGTAAGGCCAGGTGCTGCTCCCCTCCCCCCTCAGGCCCTACCTGCTCCGAATGTCCTTGGTGCGGATGGGTGCCAGGAGGCTGAAGGAGGATCGGGCGGCGTGGAGCGGGTGGTCGTCAGAGGCCAGGGGGCTCCGGGGTCGGCAAGTGCCCAGGCTGCTGTGGGCCCGGACCAGCTTGCTTTGTGCCCGCGGCTTGCGGTCAGCATGCTCTGAGTCAACCTCATTTGCTGCGCTCGCAGGGTCGGAGGCCGCGCGGTGGTCGGACGCGGGCGCTGAGCGTGGGGGCCGCAGGCCGGGGGGCGGCGGGGAGCTTCCAGTTGGCAGGGCCTCCCTGTGCAGGGGATCTAGGGAGGTGCTGGCCACTCCAGAGAGACGGTTACTCCACCCGGGTGGACTCCCCCCCTCGCTGCCCATAGCCCTGCGGGCTTTCGGGACCTCCTGCAAAGACGGGCCCAGGCAGGGCGCAGGGTGGCCCTGGGCGGCCGCGGCGGCCGGGCCCTGGGCCTGGTGCGGGGAGCCCGCGCTCGGGCTGGCGCCGTCCCGCTCCGCGGCCGACAGGTCCTCCTGGCTGGTGGGGAAACGCCTCCTCCTCCAGGCCTTGTCATCGAGAGACAGGGCTCGCTCCAGGCGGGGCTTCATGGGGGGCTGCGGGGTGACGGGCTTCGCCTCTGCTTGGGGGTCCTGGCTGCCGGCGGGGGCTGGCACGCCGAGGGGGGGCGCGGGGCTCTCCTCCGAGCCCTGACCGAGAGGCGCGGCCGGGGCGCCCGAGCCGGCCGGGCCCTGGCGTGCGCTCAGGAGCCGTCCCGGGGGCGTCGCCTCGTCCGTGGGCCCCGGCCGCTCGCCGGGGCGCAGGCACGCCGACTTGGACGGCATGGTGGGGCCCGCCGGCCGGCACCCCGCGGCCCGGGCCCGGGGAGGCCCCGCGGTGCCGGCCGCACCCGCCCCGGCGTCGGGGAGGCCCCGCGGTGCCCGCCCGGCGTCCGGGATGCGCGTCAGGGGTGGCCGGCGGCGCGCACCGAAGAAACCCCGGGCGGCTCCCTCCCTGGCCTGGGGCGCTTCTGGGGCCGAGGCCGCATGGCTGGAGCCGCGCGGTGCCCAGGTGCCTGGAAGCCCGGAAACCGCCGTGAGTGGGCCCGCTCTCCGGGAGGACGCCAGGGCGCGGGCGAGCCGCGCCGCCCGCCCCCTCCCGGGTGTCCAACCGACCGGCCCACCGGCCGGCCCTCCGCCCCGCCCTCGGCGGCCGCCCCCTCCGCCCCCGGCCCTCAGCCCCCACCTGAGGTCGGACTCCGCCGGGCCGGGCGCCGGGGGAGGCAGGGCCAGCACGGCCAAGGTGGCCCTAGCAACAACCGCCGCCCCGCGCAGGGGTCGCCGGGCTCTGTTCAATGGCCAACCTGGTCCCGGCCGGGCTCAGGGGCGGCCCCGCGCACCGCCCGGCCCGCGCCGCCACGGGCTGCGCGCCGCCCACAGCGGCCCCTGGCGGCCGGAGGACCGCAAGGCACGGCCGGTCCCTCGGGGCAGAGGCCCCGCCCCGAACAGATTCAAGGCAGCAAAGGCCCCGCCCCTCGGCAGAGGCCCCGCCCCGAACAGATTCAAGGCAGCAAAGGCCCCGCCCCTCGGCAGAGGACCCCTTCCTCCCCCCCTCCCCATTCAAGCACAGCAGAGGCCCCGCCCCGGGCGCGGACAGACTCAACCACAAGGGCCCCGCCCCTTAGGGCAAAGGCCCCGCCCCAAACAGATTCAAGGTAGCCAAGGCTCTGGCCCTGGAGCATTGGCCCCCTTCCTGCCCCCCCCACCCCCCACCCCCCAGACTCAAGCACAGCAGAGGCCCTGCCCTGGCGCTGACAGATTCAAGCACAGCAAAGGCCCCGCCCCTTGGTGAAGAGGCCCCACCCTAGACGGATTCACGGCATGCAAGGCTCCGCCCGTGGGGCAGAGGCCCCCCCTTCCTCCCCCCTCCCCCCCAGACTCCCGCACAGCAGAGGCCCCGCCCCATACGCCGCCAGATATCAGACCCAGCGCACACCGCGCCCCCAGCACCCTAACAGACCTGGAGGCCTGGTTGTCAAAATTTGTAATCCCACAAATCACAAGCCTCAGGGTAAGGTATTTGAGAGCCCAAAATATTTTATTTAACTATTTGCATTTAGGAAAAATAGCAGCTCCCACCTCCAAGGAAGCTTCTTGAATCAAAGTGGTTGGCAGTGGACAGAGCCAGGGCAGGGCTGGACTAGAGAGAGGAGGGTGGGGGCCTTTCTCAGTGACTGGTGGGAATGGATGGATCCAGGCATACTGGTCTATGGAACATTCTGGAAACTATTCTGGGAGGAGGGGGATCTTTCCTAGATGATGAAGTGAACCAGAAAACTGGCAAGGGCTGTGCTAATTCCACATTCTACAATTTCTACACTTACATTTTAAAGACCAAACAAACCGCTTATGTTGCCCCAGCAGAACCTACCCAAATTATTACCTACTGATTTTTTATAAATATTTAAATATTTCTCTTTTTTCGGCCTCTTTAGATCAACAGCGAGGGCAGTCGTAAGAACAGTCGGTGACGCTTTAAAGCTCTGAGTGCAGAGGCGGCTCTCCTGCAGGGTGATATGGCTGAGTTGCTGCTGGAGGTCCCCACGTGGGAATTAACTCAGGGGCAGAGAAGCCACGTTCCAGAGCATCTCCAGGAAATCTTTCAAGCACTCCTTATAGGTGCTCCCGACTCCTCTGAGGATGTCTGCTTCAGAAGAGCGCTGAGGAGCTGGAGGGCACACGAACCCCTCATGGTGGGCAGTGTTTCTCGGTTTGCAGCCTGGCTACTTCCTCTGGGAGGAGTCTGGCCAGCTGCCAGGAACCCCGTTTCCACACTGCTTCAGCATGCCTGCCACTGCAGCTGGGCCCAGTCCTCATCAGGCCACAGAGAGCTGAAGTGAGACTCTGAAACCAGGGCTTCCCTCCTGGATGTGAGCCAAGGCAACTGCTCGCCCTCCAGCACACCCTTCCTTTGGCTGTGACCTCTTCCCAGCTCATAAGACAGGGGAGAGCTGCCAGCGTGGTGCGTGCTGGGGCTGGGGCTCCCCCACTTGGGTCAAGCACTCATGCTTCTCTCGGTGTCCTGGAAGAACCTGGGAATGGGAATCATCTGCACTACTTCTCAGCTGGGTCTCAGGGAGGCAGGCCCTGGTTGCGGAGGAACAGGGAGCAGGACTTTCCTGTGGTCCAGCCCTGCCCAGCCAGCCTCACGTCATGTGGCTCTCAAGTGGCTGAATCACCATTCTTAAGTCATCGTAAGTGACTCAGAAAGGAACACTGTTCTTTTATGAGAAAGATCTTTTGTCAGATTCACTCTATCCAGCATCTGAGAGGATGGAGTTGGTTTTGCAGTAATTCACACACATGGGCGGAAAGGAGGGGGCGCACAGTGTGGCCGGCTCTGAGCTGCGGCTGTATCCACGGGAGGCCTCCAGACCCGAGGCAGGTTGCGGAAACAGTCATCTTGGGGTTCCAAATGAGAATCCAAAATGAATGATTTCTAGTTCAACACCGGATATTTCCTCTGGCCAATTCTTCCCAGTCTTGAATTCCCCGAGTTGACAGAGGCCTACAACAAAAGAAACAGCAGCACCGTCCTGTACATGTCCACTGGGTACTGCCCAGGGAACCCGTGGTAACACAGACAAATGATTACCGGTTATAGCCATAAGAACTGAAGAGCTGGCCCCAATCTCCCTTGAAGGGACTGAGATTTCAGCACTCAGTGTTTCCTACTATTCTAGGTTGTAGAAGTAGTTCAATTTTAGTTTGCTATTTTAAGGGCCATGAGGAATGAGGCTAATTCTGCAGAGTTGGCCCAGCTGATTGCTTGGTGAGTCTGGGGTGAACAGTGGCCTGTGGTCACATGGTGCCACATGGCATGGGTGTTGTCAGGTACCAATGGAGATACCACCAGCATTTGCTCTTCTCCCCTTTCAAGATTTCATTAGGATCAAAGCGCAGGGATCTAGTCTACTGAACTACAGCTGAGAGGAAAAGGGGAGATAAAAATGACCAAAGCTTGAAGCTATGAAGGGGACACTGGTGATAACTGGGGACAGGACAGCCCTGGCTGACGCGGGGCCGTTGCAGGGAGCACCAGAACCAGTAGGAGAGTTGTCAGGAATGAGCAGGGCAGCTTAGGGGTGCGTCTCAGCAGTAGAGTGGCTGCCTCGCTGTTGGAAGCTGAGTTCAAATGTCTGTACTGTAGAAAGGGGGGAACTAGAAGGGAGGCCAGGCCTAGCAAGTGGCTGCGGCAAAGTCTATGTGACTGTGTGTCACTTAAATGTCACATTCAGATTGCCACGTGTCCACCTGAACCCTTCCCCGTTCTCCCACAAAGCTCCCCGCGCCCCGCCCCCTTGCTGATCACACACCAGACTATCTTCTCCCAGGCAAGAGACTGACAGACAGAAAGCAGAGGAGACAGAACACAGGAAACTATCCAGAGAGCTTCTCTGTTCTCTGGCATAAGTACACACATGACCAGGGCTGGCGAGTAGGGCAGTGCCCACCGGCCTTAAGAATAGAGTCGTGTCTCCAGGCCGCAGAGCGAGGATGAAGGGCCTGGAAGCTCAAGATGGGCACAAAAAAAATGCAAAGACAGCTTCAGTTCTGAAGCAAATTCCTGCCCAAGGATTCCACCCAGCCCAACCATCAACCCAGTGACCAGGGCAACAGAGGTATTTTCCCTACAAAGTCACCACCATGTCACGAAGCTCCTAGAAGGTGTGCCACCAAGACAAAGGTTTTAACGGGAAAAGGCAATGTGGAGGGTTCTACACCAGCAATTGCAGCTTGAGACAGGCCCCAGGGGGTGGAGAAGAGATGGGAGTCTGTGGCCACAGGCTCCATAATGGCAGGAGCCATAAAGCCCAACATGAAAAGCCACACATCACACACTTGCCCCCTAGAAAGGAGAAAGATGCTCACTTGGTCCACACCCAGTGCTGGAGCAGAAGGCCCCGGGGGTCCAGACCCTCCCCTCCTGTGGAGGCGGCCACCAGAAAAGGCCTGAATCTGAAGATCCCAAAGCAGTGACGGGAGCATGGCATGAATGGAGGCGGAAGTTGGCTGAGAACCCAAGGGGGTGGGAGAGGTGTGGGAGGGGGGAGGGGCCAGCGGCCCATCTCCTCACACTTCTGTGGGTGAGCAACTCTGGATGAGAAAAGGAAGAGTCTGGGGAAGAAAAGACACATTCACTGAGCAGCATGGTGCCAAGTCAGCAGGTGAGAGAGTCAGATTCAGGCAAAGGTAGATGCTACTCACCTGTGCTAGGTGAGCAGGGTTGTAGAAGGGCACTGCCCCACTGGGAGGGGCCCCAGCAGGGCCGTGGTCACCGGTAGCCTGCAAAACAGAGAAGCTACCTGAGCAACTGCTGCCTCAGCGCAGACACAGGCTGTTCCTCAGAAAGGTGCTGGCGCTCTGAAGAGCCACAGCGTGGGGCAGAGGCAGCTCTGACAACACTGGTATCATTATGAGTGGCAACGATCAAAGCAACATGCAGAGCGAAATGCTTTAAACACCACTACGTGCAGACAGCGCAGGCCAGAGAGATGCCCTGTAGTGTCGGCCAAGCAGTTAGGAGACCGGAAGTAGGTGTGTGTCAATACACAGATGAGAGACAAGGTCTGTCCCCAACCCCCTATAAGATGCCATCAGACAGTCCTGCTGGCCTCACACAGACTTCTTCAAGTTACTCAACAAGAAGAAACCTTTCTTCCCAAAGGAGCTTCCTGACCTGGGAGACACTGTCAGGCCAGGCTGCCTTGTAGAAAAACCGAGAACTCATCCAGGTGCTCTGAACCCCGGGATTAGTTCACAGATGGGGCACCTGGAAGCTACCA